CGCCCAGTGAGTGGCGTCAAGCTGGCCACGCCCAGTGAGCGGCGTCAAGCTGGTCACGCCCAGTGAGTGGCGTCAAGCTGGCCACGCCCAGTGAGCGGCGTCAAGCTGGCCACGCCCAGTGAGCGGCGTCAAGCTGGCCACGCCCAGTGAGTGGCGTCAAGCTGGTCACGCCCAGTGAGTGGCGTCAAGCTGGCCACGCCCAGTGAGCGGCGTCAAGCTGGCCACGCCCAGTGAGCGGCGTCAAGCTGGCCACGCCCAGTGAGTGGCGTCAATCTGGCCACGCCCAGTGAGTGGCGTCAAGCTGGCCACACCCAGTGAGTGGCGTCAAGCTGGCCGCGCCCACCCAGCCTCCTGGAAGTCAATCACAGTCCTGATGTGGCCCTCAATGAAATTGAGTTTGATACTCCTGTCTTAGACTATTTATCCAAGCAGTGAATAAACATTAGAAGTGCTACCACGATTGTGACAAAATCTGTGATATATCTTTTATTTTTTTTATTTTTTTATTTTATTTTAATTTATCTGCATCCTGCCTTTATTATTTTTGGGAATAACTCAAGGCGGCGAACATATCCAACACACCTTCTTCCTCCTCCTCCTCCTCCTCTTTTCCCCACAACAACAATTCTGTGAGGTGAGTTGGGCTGAGTGAGAGTGACTGGCCCAAGGTCACCCAGCTGTCTGTCATAGCTAAGGCGGGATTAGAATTCACGGCCTCCTGGTGATTGGTCTAATGTCACCCAGCCATCTTTTATGGCTAAGGCGGGACTAGAACTCAATGTCACCTGGTGATTGGCCCAAAGTCACCCAGCTGTCTATCATAGCTAAGGCAGGACTAGAACTCACAGTCTCCTGATGATTGGCCAAAATCACCCAGCCAGCTTTTATGGCTAAGGCGGGACTAGAACTCAAAGTCACCTGGTGATTGGCCCAAAGTCACCCAGCTGGTTTTCATGGCTAAGGCAGGACTAGAATTCACAGTCTCCTGGTGATTGGCCCAATGTCACCCATTTGGTTTTCATGGTGAAGGTGGAACTAGAACTCACGGTCTCCAACTTTCTAACCTGGAGCCTTAACTACTAGGCCAAACTGTTTTAACCCTTCCCAAATAAATCTGTGTTATGATTTTTTTTTCTCTAGAAAAGAAATAGGTGGATTTGAGAGACAGCGAGCCGAAATGCACGAAGAAGGGGAGGGGGAACAAATGATTTATCTGCTTTTTTTCCCTCCCCCGACAGGTTCAACTTCCAGATAGTCAACGAAACGGCCACGAAGCTGTAGCAACCGAAGACGCGACGCAATAGCCCCTCCTTCAGAAACTCTTTTTGTCTTTCTGTCTTGATGCGAAAAGACTTTTTTTCTTTTAATAGCAAAAGATTGTGCAATACGTTCAGAGACATGGACACAGGCGGGGTGGGGGAACAGAGCCATTTTTTTTCAGCAACAAAAGAAGGGAACACGATGGACTTCTTGCCGTGACTTGTTCGTCCTTTTCAGGATTTCGGAAAAAAAATAGCCGGGATAATCCTTTTAATTTTAAAGTCCTACTTTACGAGAACGGGACTTGCAATCCCGAAACTGCACTTAAATCGTGGGAACTATCAACTCTACATTCAGCGTTGCAGAGTCTCAAAAGGGAACGAAATTGGGAAGAGGTGTGTTTTCCGTAGGCAGCCGATGCGGGAAAATTTGCAGCCGAAACTCAGCAGCTGTATAATTCTAGTTTTGAAAAACAAGGTGCGAGGAGGTGTGATATTTTTTTCTTTCTTTTTTTAAATCTCTCCCCCCCCCCCCCAAAAAAAAAATCTTTTTAAAATGTCACTCCTATCGTAAGAATGTGGAAATTCCCAAGAAATGGAGAATGAATGCACAAGAAAGGAAATTAAAATCTCACACTGGGAGCGTAGCATGTATACCGATTTTATGAATGGGCTGTTTGTAAACAAATGTGGGAAACCTTTTAGCGTTATCGCTTCTTGTCAAAATTCTTTCCGGGAAAAACAAAAAAAAGAAAAGAAGGGATCGAAGAATCATGGGCTCTTTGTATTGTAACTTGTTGAGAGTGATTGACAGCCTTAGGGGTACACTGTTGAGAATGATTGATGGACTCACGGGTACGTGACAATCTGAAGAATCCCATCATGGGTTATTGTTAATTTACTTGAGTTTTAAGGTACCATCCAGGAATACGGCGGCTCAGTGGCTAAGACTCTGAGCTTGTCAATCGGAAAGGTCGGCTGTTCGAATCACATAACGGAGTGAGCTCCCGTTCCTTGTCCCAGCTTCTGCCAACCTAGCAGTTGGAAAGCATGTAAAAATGCAAGTAGAAAAATAGGGACCACCTTTGGTGGGAAGGGAACAGCGTTCTATGCGCCTTTGATGTGGAGTCCTGGCGGCCACATGACCACAGAGACGTCTTCGGACAGCGCTGGCTCTTCAGCTTTGAAATGGAGATGAGCACCGCCCCCTAGAGTCAGGAACGACTAGCACATATGTGTGAGGGGAACCTTTACCTTAAGGTACCATCCAAATGGATTACAATGTTGAGCCTCATATTTTTGTAGGCTGGGGCATACAGGTAGTCCTCAACTTTCAACAGTTCATTTAGTGACTGTCACACTTAACGACTGCTGCAGCATCAAAAACTGAGTGATCAAAATTGAGATGCTTGGCAACTGACTGGTATTTATGACGTGGGTATTATGGGGCCCTTTTGCGATCTCCTAACCAGCAAAACCAGTGGGGAAATCAGATTCAGTTAACAACTCTGGCAAGAAAGGTTGTAAAATGGGGCAAAATTCATTTGTCTCACTTAGCAACAGAAATTTGGGGCTTAATTATGGTGGCATGTCAAGGATTACCTGCATCGGCTTGGGCCTTCCATTAAATCTTAATTTATGGAAGACTGGACGAAAAGAATAGTGAAATTAGTGGGCAGTCATATTGCAAATTAAGTACGAATTTGACTGAGTTGAATCCAGTGGCTTTTAATTCCACGCTCTTGATACCATAAGTAAATATGGGACCATAATTTAAATTCTGAGCCTTAATCTTTCTAACTGATAATGCGAAGCAGTCACTGTGTTCCTCTGGTCGTCAGTGAATTTTAATTCAACATCTACAGTTATCTGTAAAAAAAAATAAGAACTTAGATGTCTGTTATTTATTTGGAAAGCTTGAGAAAGAAAAATAGGTAGGATGCACACTTCGATCCATCACGGTTTCCAGAAACATCCCTTCTGCTTCATTAAAAACGTAGGAACGTACATCAAATGTGCCAAATTGGTGCTTTATAACAAAACATGGCTGTTAGCGGGAAAGACCAAAATGGAAGGGGGGGGATCTGTTTTTAATGACAGTGGAAAGGACGGAGTAGAAGCGAGCAACTGTGACGGCTTTATATGGATTTCAATTCCCAGAATTCCTGGCGGGCTATACTTGTCCAACCAGGGATAGACAATCTGATGCCAGTGAAAAATGCCATACCCTCTTTCCCCGAAAATAAGACCTCCCTGGATAATAAGCCCAATTGGGCTGTTGAGCGCATGCGCCAAAATAAGCCCTCCCCGAAAATATTGCAACATAGCAGCAGCCCGCGAGGGGACCACGCTCGCCGTCTCCTGCACTTCAAAAATGATAAGACCTCCCCGAAAATAAGGCCAAGCGCTATTTGGGAGATCAGAAGAAAATAAGATCCTGTCCTATTTTGGGGGAAACAGGGCATTAGATTAGATTAACAGTTGGAAGGGATCTTGTAGGTCATCTAGTCCAACCCCTTGCCCAAGCAGGAGACCCTACGACATTTCAGGCAGATGACAGTTCAATCTCTTCCTGAAAGCCTCCAGGGATGAAGCTCCCACAACTTCCGAAGGCAACTTCTGTTCCATGGGTTGATTGTTCTCACTTTCAGAAAATTCCTCTTTATTTCCAGGTGAAATCTCTCCTTGATCAGTTTCCATCCATTATTCCTTGTCTGGCCTTCAGGTGCTTTGGAAAATAGCTTGACCCCTTCCTCTGTCACTATCTTTTTCTTTATTATCTATCTTTATCATCTATCATTTAATCTCATCTGTCTATATCTGTTTGTCTGTCTCTATCTTTCTCTCTCTCTCTCTCTCTCTCTCTCTCTCTCTC